TTTTTTTTTTTTTTTAGCAAAATGTCTAAGCTTGCAGCTGGTAGCATCATTCTCTTTGGATTTCCATTAAAAGAGAATACCCCTTTTTTCTTGCATTCCCACCCCATTTACCTTTATGGGTTTCAGAACTTTGGATAATGAAGCATGCTTTAGTTTAGTGCATGACATGGAATTGGTTTCGAATGCATTTCCTTCTTAAGGTCCCACATTTCTACATTTACACATTTTGTTCTCTGCTACCGAGCCTTAACCTGTTCAGAATTGGGCTGTGGAAGTGGTGGGCAAGCATACGCATGCAGCTCTATTGCTCTCAACCGTCCCCTCTCCCTCTCCTCCCTGGTCCTCAAAGCTGGAAAGTTTGATGATCGCTGCTTTAGAAAAACAAGTTTGAAGTTGCAGCGAGATCCTGTAAACTCAAAGAAAAGTGTTTTATCAACTTCTATAGTGTCTTTAAATTCCACAATTCTCTTATAACATATGTGCTGAATTTAAACAGGCTAATCTCAAGGTGGGAAAAAAAATCCAGTCAAAGAAATTGGGTGTAGTCATATTCCAAAATAAATCACCTCACCATTACCTATTTAAGCCTGTGTTAAAATGCTTGCATTCACTCTTCTGCATTGATGCAGGTAATGTTGCAGCAAAGTAGCATTTATAAAGTACTGTGATGTGATGCGGTCAAATGTCTTTATGAAATCCGGTTTTCAATGTCTTAAGAATCATGTTCTACTTTATAGGAATAGATGGGTGTCTGTTACTGTGCTTATCACGCATTATACTGTACCAGATATTCCCAACAAGAGTGAAACTAAGAGCAATAAAACAATGATTGTATACTTATTCCGGAATACAGCTTTTGCCTTATTAAAAAAAAGAATAAGAAACTTAGATGCATAATTATAACTTATAGTGTATATAACCTCTTTCTTAAGTCTGATAGCTTAAAAAATACTTGATTCTTATTTATTCTTGTAAGACTGCTCAAGCCACAGTATCTTAGCTTAAAGTAGGATTTGAGTTGCATTGCATTTAGCAGTTCCTAAAACACACTTCTGCTCACTTCTATTAATTATATTAAGGCAATGCTTTAGCTACTATGTTGGGTGAAACAGATCTCCCCCACACACAGACACACTTATCCCCAACAGTCTGGTTCCATTTTAGGCAATGTTTCTCCTCCGACTGGTCACTTTATGGGGTTTTCAGTCAACTCCTTCCAATTTGTCGCTGGTCACTATTCTGGAGATTCTGCATTGGAAAAGAAAGTTCCATATAAGCCTGAGCCCCATTGTGTTTTGTGAGGCAGTTCTCAGTCATTACATGGTTTTCTTCAACAACATTGATAAATGCTACTATGAAAAACTGATTCTTTCTTTAACTCTACTAGCAGGGTGGTGATATGTTGTCTTTTAAACCATTCACTGGTAGACAAGTGAAATTGTGATTATTTCCTTGCATATTTACTTGTTCATCCCATCTGTTTGGAGCTGGAGTGGCTTGTTGGTTGAAGTGGCGTGGCATTCAATTGCCTAAATCATCTGCAGTAAGCCCTTGAGGTATGTCTATTACACAGGTCTGCAAATTTTGTTTGGTTATTCCACATAATCTTTATGTTTTTTGGTGCGTTGAATCTGAAAATGACCCCCATTTTGTCATAGGACATCACGTTTCCTGACAATTTAG